TAATTCTCCATCAGCCTGATATATCTTCCCAAAGTTACCTGCAACATAGTTCTGCATTAACTCCCAATGTGAATATGTATGGAAGGAAGCCCGTAAAGCTAATATCCAGTCATCAATAGAACTTTGAACTGCAGTAACAGTGCCTTCTGCACTTCAGTTACAACATTAGCACTTGAGTTTTTTGTTTTCTTGAGATTTTTACAGTTCTTCTTTATGTGTTCAGCTTTTCCACAATTTCAGCAGGTTGCTTGTTGACCAGATTTTGACTTGCTCTTATCTCTGTGTTTTGATTTTGATCTTTCTCTGTCTGAGTTTCTGTCATGTGATCTCCCTCTAGAATAAACATTTAGAGCTGAGCTCGAACCCGAGGTCTCGCCAAAACCTTTTCTGCGCACATTCTCAGCCAAAATCAAATCACGAATATCATCATATTTCAACTTAGATCTCTCTATAAAATTACTAACCGACATCTTCATGGCTTCCAAATTATTTGGCAAAAAAACCAACAATAGCAGTGCATGTATCTTATCACCAAATTCAATTTCCACAGACAATAATTGAGTTGTAATAGTATTAAATAATTCATATGTTGTGCAACAGCTGTACCATCCGTCATCTTCAAATTGAATAACTTTTTCATCATATGAACCTTGTTATTTGCTGATGTTTTTTCATACATACCTGACAAAGTTGACATGAGATCTGCAGTCATTCTCTGCTTAATGACGTTGTATGTCACAGATCTCGACATAGTTAATCGAATAACTCTCAGAACTTGTCGATCCAACAAATTTCATTCAGTCTCGTCCATTTTTTCTGATTGTTTTCCCAGTAGCGGAAGATGAATTTTTTTTTCCATAGAGGTAGCCCTCTATTTGCATCATCAAATAATCAAAATCCGTGTCATCAAATTTCTCGATCCCGAATACCTTTACTTCGTCTCCGGTCATCGCTTTCCTTAGACCTAAATCTTGGCTTTGATACTAATTATTGTGAAAAACGACGATAATAAAATGAAAAATTGGAACGAAAAAATTCACAAATAGAAAAGAACACACATATTTACGTGGTACGGCAAATTGACTACGTCCACGGAGTTACAAAGAATTTTATTATTTTGCACATTACACCGTTGATCATATCAACTTACAAGAAACTCTCTTTCTATCTCACACTCTCTCCTCTCCTTCTCTCTCACAAACCACTGGCCACGACGGGAAGAAGAAAAACCGAGCAGCCTTACAGTATTATTCTTCCCGTAAGCACAAAACCACTGGCCACGACGGGAAGAAGAAAAACCGTGGAGCAGCCTTACAGTATTATTCTTCCCGTAAGCACATAGCAGAAGCAAAAAGAGGGATCCGTATGAAAATATACAATTCCTTCCTGCTCTGTTCAAGTGGCCCAATTTAAGGCCCATTAAGGCAAACTTTTAATTGCCAAATATCACTTCGAATGATTGGCGAACGGGCTAATGAGGAAACAGCATTAATTCGTGAATCCAAATCAGTCGGCGGGAGAGCCGGGAGACAACTAAGGAAACCCGAAATTAAAACTTAGTTTTTTTTTCGGAAACAAGAGGAAGGCGGGATTCTCTAAATGAGAAACTTATAATAGAAGCGAAGTGGCCCGGCTCCAATGGATGTCTTATACTAAGCATTTAAAAAGCTCAACCAGCCATTATACGAGACTTAGGGAGGCTCAAGAAGACACTATGGAGCAAGCAATTTAAGCCTCACGCCCCATCACACTTGTTTTTACATAACATTATATCATTACAAAATCTCACTGTTATATAAAAGGACGTTCATGAAGAAAATACCTTATCAAAAACTTGGTTCACCCATAACACCAAAATTAGCTAACCCCACTGTCCCATAACTTTTGAACCACTGGACCACTCAGGAATCAGGATCAGTCAAATACCTTTTTTAGCTCTTGGATCCACCCAAGGTGTCTGTTATGGCTAAACCAAGCCATTAGTTGGTTCACAGAGGGAACTTCATGCAACTATCTAAAATCCAAGTTAACTAAATGAGAAGCTTTACCATATCACCAACAAGTGTCCCCAAGCAACTATTCCCTCACAAACACTTCAAACTAAATAATAACTCGATGTTAATCAGACACCTAAGTCAAATTTTGTTATATAATTGGGGAATGGAAGCAGATAAAAGTTCAAATAAGCACAAAAAATTACACAAATACCAAGTGACAATGTGCACTATATATAATCTAAATTAATTTCTCAATATATTCATGAACACTGTTGATGAAATAACTTAGGATATGCACAGCTCCACTATAAAACATTTACAGGAAGCGCAATCACCATTGCTCCTCAAATTCACTACAGCAAAATCAAATCACATAAACCTCTCAAATTACAATTACAAACTATATGTTACAATAACGAAGAGTCAAGATGCAGCAACAAATACTCACTACAAGACTGACAAGCCTACAAGAATTTCAAAGAGCTTAAGAGAACGAAAGCAACAGTTCTATGTATCAATACCATCAGGCAATGAGGAATTGAAGCACAGTAAGCATGAACGATTCGTAAGTGAAAGTTGCAGAACCGAGGTACATTGTGTCCTTTTCCTTGAATTTCTCTGTTAAACCCTGAAACAATCCAACATGCTGACTTTCAAACACTGGTCTCCATGAACAATAAACAAAATAAAAGGGGCATTTACATACATACCACACAATTCTAATGTATTTACATATCTAACACCTATACATTCATGTTCACATCCATAACACTCAAATCATTAACATCACATCAAAAATATCGCCATCACTATTTTAAAAGTGAAATACACCTCATGCATAGGTTTAAGATACAAATGCGTTATAAGTGTAAATATCGAACATTTGGGGTTAGATATATAAATTCATAAGAATTGTATGGTATGTATGTAAATTTTCCATAATAAAAACAAATTTAAAATAGAAGGAAAAAAAACAAAAAATGCATTACCTTTACAGTGAGGCAGCATCTGCAGTTCAATAAGAGCATGTCAAAAACATAGATTAGCAAATATGTCCATATAGATGAATGATATACAGAAGTTGTGGAAGAAGAGAAAAAGGACCTTACTCGATGAAATTGTCGTATTCAATCGCTTTGCTTTTGCCGCCACTTCTGTCATACTTCGACAGTAGCAGGTCCAACACAGGAGGGGAAACTGCATAACCCAAGCTGAGAAGGGCTTCTCGGAGCTCTGACTCTTCGATCTTGCCACTGCGATCACGATCAAACCTCTCGAATATAACCTGCAATAATAACCATTTTCATTGAGTTGGAACAATAGACAATGCTCACGTTACCTAAGAAAAAAGAATCGTGTAAGAACTTGTCTGGCGAGTTTTATATGATTACCCTCCAGCTCTGAAGGCAGTAAAATAATGAGATGAATTCCTTTGGACCTGAAACCAAAAAAAAAAAAAAGCATGAGGGATTCAAGACTAATAAATTTCACGCATTTCTAACATTTTGACCACTCTTATGAAACAGAATTAGACTAAGATTTAAAATAAAAAAGGTGCCGCATACACCATGCAATTTAAATTTAGGACTATATAATAACTAGGTTGTTATACACACACGCATAAGAAAGTAATATAGTAGTGTTGTTGAACTATGCAAACCATACTCAAGGACCGCATTAGAGGCTATAGAGATAGCACATCATAGTTCAACAAAACTTGCATAAAAGAACATCAAGATTAAGTGTCCGTTTGGGGCAGATTATTTGTCAAGACGTGGCTTCGAAACGTTGGGTCTGTCATTTGGAAAGTGCGGCACAACTACTTCTTGGGATTAATCGAGAGGAAACGCGGCAGTGGGTTCGACCCCGCAGCCCGCGTTCCTTCGTTATGTTGTGACGGAGGTACCCTTACGTTACCCAATGCCACTTTCTCTCTCTCGAGTCTTACCCTAACATCCCTCTCTCTCGCGCTCCTCACGGGGCAACCTCTCTCGTGATTCTTGCCCCAAATCCCCCCTCTTTTGCGTGATTCTTACAAATACGGTGTTGCCTCTTTCTCTGTTTCAGTATTCTCTAGCTTAGCATAAATCTTGTGGTTTTCTATTTTGCAAATGCTTGTGTGCCCGAGACTTTCATGGGTTCTCCGTGCTCTTATCCTTCAATGGTTTTCAGTTGATGTTGGATTTTGGAATTTTTAGTCGTGCAATACTTGGAAATAGGTGATGGTTTTCGGTTGATGTTAGATTTTGTTTTTTTTATTTGCTCTTTTATGTTCTTGATGTTGGTCAAAAATATATGGTGGTGCTGATTGCACGTGTAATGGCTTCGAAACAGGGGGTGTTTTTCGGTTGATGTTGGATTATGATTTTCTGTTTGCTCTATTATATTCTTGTTGTGGGCCGAATATATGTGGCGGTGTTGATTGCACGTGTAGTGACTTGAAAATATAAATGATTACTTGGAACATATATGAGTCATATGTTGGTGATGGCAATGATGTTGATTTATTGGTGCGTTGCATTGTTTGTTTGTGGAGGTGGTGGTTGTTGTGTGTGGAGGTGTTAGCGTATGGATGAGTTTGTGTTAGTGGTGTTGTGAATGTGTTAGTGCGAACAATTCTTAAAAATAATATTATCATATTATTAATTGTTATTTTAAGTCTTTTTTTTATTTTGGTAATTATGCTACTCATTGTTTAGTGAGATGTTTATTTTTATTTTGTAATATTTTGCACTAAATACTTGCTTTCAAGCATGAAATATGTCGGTATGACAGTTCTGTTGTAAACATCATTACAGTACACGGGCAAAATGGTCATTTGCCTAGAAATTGCTGCAGCACAACTATTTTGAAACTGCAAAAAACAAATAGACAGTCAGCTTATCTGCAACAGTTTCCTGCAACAGCTGTTGCGCAGTTGCTTATTAATAAACTGCAACTGCCTCAAACAGACCATAAGTAGTGAGCTTATATAAGCTTCGTATTCAAGATCAGTGTTAAGGCAAACGTAAGATTTTCAATAGCTATGAGGGAGCACAAAAATGTAAGAGGAGAGACAAAAGCAGCTATTTCAGCGCAGTCAAATTTTTATTCCTATTAAGAGGTCATTATGAAGCTCAAAACACCCATCAAAGTGGGTCTTGACTTTATATAGCCATCTATGATGAACAAAAACTTCCCTCAAATAAATCAACCAACTCTCAAATTTCAGTATAACATGGAAATCAAGTTCTATTTGTATAGTTTGTTACTAATGGGGATCAGAACAAGCTTCACGATTAGTACTAGGCTTATAAAAAATGGAGAATTAAACACGATAAATTTATTAAAAATATGGAGAATTACATTTTGTAGAACTTGTAAATTGTCAAATAGTTGGAATTTCAGGAATTAAATGAGGTGTTTCTATAGAAGGTCTGACTATATCAGCAAAGATAAATATCACCCGAATTAGGTGGCTTTGTTGCATCAAACGTGTCAATATAAAATGATTTCGTGAACTCAGGTGTAGATAGATGAACTTGAAATGGTGAAGCAATTGTGTTATTTCCTCCCAAAATGATATAATGAGAGATTCAAAGTTGCTCAATATAAGATCCCAACAATGACAACGTACCCTAAGAAACAAGAGAAATGAGAGCGATTTTAGAGTTTATTGTATCAGCTTGACAAGAACAAATTAAGCACAACCAAAAACTCATCAGATAGAGTAATTAGGAACCTTTTCTTAAAGACACTGATAAGGAGATTTAAGGGCAATAATAGCAAAGAATTGACATCCATTTTGTTGCATCATTGCATTTAACACAACCGTCCACCTAGTCTAGCGCTGAGCAATGCCCTACACCACAATAATTGACCATCCTCAAAGCATGGTTGGGTCAAGCTCCAATTGATCATATATAGTTTGACTCGAGCAATCAAGCTTGATATTCACTTCCCTCTATCAATCCCAACTTCTTCCTCTCACCCGACCTCCCAAATATAAAACATGATTTGAGCTCAATGAATCCTAGTCTCTAAAGCGAACAAGCCAACAACATCAAGCCCAATGAAAGCTCATTGGTCTTTTAAACTCTAGTGGATGCTCCTTGATTGAGCTGGAGACTCCATTCTTGTTGGATCAAGTATACCCTCTTAAATCCTAGGCTAGCTCAATGGATTGATTGACCCATCGCAATCCTCACAATTTTTGAGTTCTTTCCACCATTGCATTGCCCTTCTCTTCGTAATGGATTTCAATATATTGCTTGTGAGAAGTCAAGTTCCTGAAGTTGATTTTAATGCTACTTAGCATTTTGATTAAATTTATACAATGAAAATTTTCCCTGTGCTCATTGATAATATTTAGTCCTGAAAATCACATACTATTAATGAAGATTAAAAACATGCAATTGCAAACAAATATTTAGATGGACATATGCAAGCTGAAAGAGAGAGAAAAGCAGGGTTTTGCTTGGTTTATGAAAGTTCACTCCAATGAAAAATGAAAATATAAAAGCCTAGACATTACATAAAATATAAGCCAATTTTAATTTATATACATAAATGTAAACATACAAATATATATATATATATAAACATAAAGTCTGCCCCTGATTCTTGCCTCCTTGATTATTTTCTATTTGAATTATTTTTTGATTTAAGAGAGTACTAGTGAAAATTATGCATGTGAATTAGATCATTTACATAGCTTTCTGACTAAAAATATATAAATGTAAGTGAAAATATAGAGGTGCAAAAGGTATTACGCATGTATATCCTTTGACCAATCACAATTTATTTAAGCTTAGCACAAAATTGTACCTAGCAACCAACAACGTCATCAAAGGGCATTGCATTTTTTAGCACATACAGAGAATACTATTTCGAACCTATTGTACATAATTATAAGTCATTATAACACGGCCAGCCAAATATGATAATATAACACACATGGCAGAATAACAAAACCTACTTATACCAACATCAAGGTTGTGCCTATCAGAACATATAATACGTGCAAAAGCTAGTGTGGTTAAAAATATCAACGCATATGAATGGCAAAGTCGTCTTATGTTAAATTATTGGATTTTAAGAAAGTATCTTTGAAAATATATTTTCTTTGCAGTATATGAAAGTACATTTTAATATTTATTTGAATATCTATCTATCTATCTATCTATGTAGATATATATATATATATAAGAGAGAGAGAGATAAAAAGGAGTGGCATGCTATATGCTATTTAGATCTCTATCCAATTATATAAGTTCTAATTATGATAGATTAATTTTCATCATTAGATTAAAAGGAAAGATTTACATAAATACCACACAAATTTTATGTATTTACATATGTAACACCTAAAATTTAATTTTTACAGTTAGACCACTTCATCTATAAATGTGTATTCACTTTTTAAAACAGTCTAAAAAATGCACTAGTCATAAAATGGCCAAACTGTCGTGCATTAGTCAAGCCTAAATATTAAGGACATAGAATTTTGTCATACATGTCCTATGAGATAGACTAGGTCCATTAATACTTAATGGACGTTCTAATTTTCTGAACTCAAGTATGTGACAGTCTAACAAGTTTAGGCAGTTTAAAGGGAATCTTAATTCATAAAAAATAGTAAGACTAGGTTGGTAGTTTCACTCTACCAGTCAAATTATCATTTTCCTCTCGTTCTATGAACCTCTCACGTTTTTAGAAGAGTAAGCCCTATATTCCTTCTCGATCTACTGGATAGAGTCTAGAAATTTTGTCTTCTTCTTAGCTCTGGGTTTACAAGATTTCTTTAGATTATATTATTCAGAATTGTTGACAAAAAATCTCTGATCGGATTATGTCAACTACCATCATGTCTACATAGGTCTAGAGTATGATGACCCGAGATCACAAATACATGAAATCCCAATTAAGTTCTACCTAACTGTTCCAAAATTCCTAACCGTACCCCTTTAAGCTCATTCATTTTTTTATTATCTTTAGGGGCATAAATCCTTTGAAATTATAGACTAAAATTGGAATAGAAGAACCATCTCGTTGTTGAGTATTCTCAAACGTTTTGGAGATGTAATTGACCTTAGGAATAATGTTCCTTTGGGAGATTCAGACCCTGAAATATGAAAGTATCAAAATATAGATTCTCTAGTTAAAATATGAAAACTTTTATGAGACTTGTCATGGGTTTTGATAAGTTTAGTGGGTCTTACACATCAAATCTCTTTTCCTATCTCTTCATATAAAAATATCCTAAATAAAACCATTTTTATATTTTTCAAAATTAAAATAAAATTTAAAAAAAAATTCCCTTGACCTCGTGCTCTGAGGTGAAGAGGAGTCACATCTCTAGAGTTGTTGGTAAAATGAAGGTGGAAGGGTAAATTCAATTGAGGTTGGTGTAGATAGTGGGAGAAGATGGCATTACGTAAATACTGTTAACGTAGACGC